GCTGCAGCATTCCTCCACTGGCTGCATTCAGTGAATAACGAGCCTCGCCGTGAATACCCATGAATTGGTCCCCACCAAGTAAAGCAGTAAAGCCTTTGGCCCCCCGTCCCTTAGCCTCCCCACATCGCCACCATCGCAACCATCACTACCAAAACTCCACCCCTCCTCCCCCCTCCTCCCCCAGACCGTCCCCAAAGCTCTACTCTAGCTTTACTGCCCATTAAAGCACAACCATTGTGCACAGATTCAGCCCACAAAAGCTGTCAATCTCTCCGGGGTCCTCCAAAGCTTGGACTCACACAGACTGGAGTGACAGACCCCTCCCCCCCCCACCCGCAACCCAACTCTGTTCCCCCGAAAATCCTCTCCCTTAAAACTTCTCAGCTAACTATTCCCCACCACCCACTCTCTCTCTCTCTCTCTCTCTCCATCTCTGCCTTGCTCTCTCGCTCTCTCCAGCCCCAGTGCACAAAGCATCAATCTGTCTTCAGCCCCAGCACCCTTGGCCCTTTGTCCCATCTGCAGGTGCCTCTGAAAGCACCCACGGTCACCCCAGCCTCTGCACACGCCACGCCTAGTCCAGGAACAGGAACTGCTGACAAAGACCCAGTGTGGGAATGAGGGATGCATGGAGGGAGGGATGGTGGTGTTGAGGGGGGGGGGCGCTCTAAGACAGATGGCTGGGGAAGTCTCCCAACTCCTCCACAGGGGCTGTCAGTTTGAATTCAGAGCTACGACCAAGACACACGGGCACGGCCAGTGGAGAAATGCTCAGAGGGTTCCGCTGCTACTGTACACTTCACACACCACTGTAAGACAGAAGGAACCACTGCTGCTGCTGCTGCTGCTGCTGCTGCTGCTGCTGCTGCTGCTGCTGCTGCTCATACAGCCATCTGTTTATATTATGTCACTTTATCATTTCATTAAACCTTTTCTTCAACAAATTTGTTTAGAATTTTTAAATAGAAAACACAAGCACTCACCCCATAATCACTGACACACTCTGAACGCCTGCGGTCTTCCTCTCAGCTCCTGTGCTTTCTTTTCGTGCACTGGCCCTTCATTTCAATTTGAAATAAATTTTTGACTCTTTATAAAATGGCTTCAAGGTACGGATTCCATTTGCTCTACTCAAATACAGCAACAACATGCAAATATATACTTAACTCAATCCTACTACGTCCTTCTTTAACCTGAACATGTAGTGTCTTGTGCTCTTCTTGCACACTACAATCACATTTGAACGTTAAAATCATGGGAAAGCCAACACAGCTGCTCTGATGTACAGATGCCGGATGGGATAGCTTTCTGGAACCGCAGAATTTTTATTAGTGTCGGAGAAAGATGTCAACAACAACCTGAGATTCTAACTGTGATAAACTCAAGTTGAACAAACACAAACACACACACATATACACACATACACACAGTCATCACCACTGAAACCTTCATCAAACTCTTGACTCTCTGCATCCATTTTACTATCGGTGTAACTGAGCTGCCACCATGTGGACTTAAGTGGTATTACAGCAACTAGTTGCTCTATAGCTCTGTCATTAAACGTGTTAATTTGAATGCCATTGATAAACAAGCACTGACATAGATACAAAAACTATCTATATTTTAATCGTTGCACGAATTACATGGTCGCAAGTGAATCTGATGGAGTGGTAGGAGAAAAGTTGCAACAGTTGCTTCTCTAGGACAGGGATAGTGCAGATAAACCTGTGTGAGAGCCTAGCCAGAAAGGATAGAACAAAGGTGAGTGTAAAAACTGATGTAAAAATAGTTTTACACCTGTTACAACAGTAAAAAGTAACCCTAAAAATCAAACACAGATTTAGAAATGTGACACATTTTCCATGCATCCATTTGCCTTCAAAACAACATCAACTACTGCAACAATTAGGATTATAGTCATGTGTATGATCAATCAATGATAACAAACGGGTGCAAATCTCACATTACGGCTGAAGCAGACTTTAACTGGAAGATAAACAGTTGTGTGGGCCAGACTCAGTTTTCCAGGACAAAACCACGGCAAGATGAGCACTAAAAAATCACAGCCTGCTGTTCAAGCTCAGTTAAAAGCACAAAAAAGTGGGCAACATTTAGCATTGTAGACAAAGTGTTTGGAAGAGGAAACACATCACACATATTTCTGGCAGAAACCAGGGGGTGTAGGCACAGTACACCCATCAACTGTCCAGAGAAGTCTGGTTAGAGAAAACAAAAAGTCCACGGCCAAAACCCATGCAAATAAGGCCAAGCTGCTACAGACACTGGGGTGAAATATATGGTAGCAGCTGCTCAATGAGTCAATGTTTGAAATATTTGGCTGCAGCAGAGGGCAGTTCATTAGAAGTTTGGAGATGCACTTCTGTAGCCGGACATTCAGGATTAATAGTGTCCCGACATGCTGAAAAAAGAGAGATACTAATCAATACCATTGGGGAGTGGTGTGATTCAATGGTTTAAAGGTAAAAGGGTGGCCACACAGTATATGGGTTTGACTTAGAGTTCCCCTAGTAGTGAATGTGTTAATTCAATGTATCTATAGATCTATCGATCCATCCATCCATCCATCCAACCATCTATGCTTAACTGCTTTTACAAATACAATATTTTTTTCAGCCACAAGATGGCAACATCCCCCAACTTTTTATCTGTTCAATGACAGTTGTAACAGTTCCCTTGGAGGTTGCTTTCGTTGCTCTTATGTTAACCGAATCCGTCTCGTTTAAAATAAACATCGGCTTCCCGTGACTTACTAAATCAATTATGAAGCCACAAAATTACGACAATCCTCTTACTGCATGTGGTAACAAACAATAGAGAATTGAAATTTAAACGGTGGTTATACAGTATATAGTGATTGCACTGGGTGAAGGACTGTGCTTTTCTGATAAAAACAAATATAACGCCCTTAACTGAAAAGATAAATATTAGTGTTTAATCTGCTGCACTGCTACATAAACTGAACCTGAAGAGTAGCAAAGACGCCAATGCGGGGGGGAAATGCAAAACACACATCACGTGCATCATTCCACTACACACGTCTATGCAAATCAACACATGAACCCAAAACCTGTGGCTAAAGCATGGCTTCTGATTACAGACACTGCACTTTACTTCTTTTCAGACATGTAAGGTGTAAAATAATACATTCTAAAAAAATATATATTTTAAATGAGACACTGGTATTAACAAATGATTTTATATATAGTAGCTCATTTATGACAAATCAACCCCCCCCCCCCCCCCCCAAGCATCAGGCGTTGTCAGTGGTAAGAGTGAAACCTACAGTTTTAAATAGCATGACCTTTAATGCAGCTCGGGCTGAACAGGACAGACAGAGCATTTCATCTACATATCTTACCTTGAGTCATCGTGCCACATTACTTTCATACAGTTCTGTCTTATTTCAACTGAAAAGGAAACCGTTTTAGGTCATCAGAAATGCCTGTGCTTCTTTGTAAGACGTGCTAAAATGCTGGCTGTGAAAAAGCCTGTTGCCTTTTATTACACCCTGTTACTCACTCAGTGGGCTTTTATAACTGTTCACTCTGCCCTGTGGCTTTGCACCACCTCTGTCTTGCCCTTTACTCACCTAGGATATTTTATAGCATAATTCATATCCTTCACACCCTTGTATCAGCGAGGTGTCAGGATACACACACCGCATCACTGTGTGTTGTATATTGTCCTTCATGGTCACAAGATACATCTATATACATATATATGTACGTATATATATATGTATATATGTACATATATATGCTAATATTAATTTTGATTATTTAAACTTGAAAATTGACTACTACACATTTTATTTAAAAAACTCCCACAACTTTTTTTGTGTGTGCAAGTAAATAGTTTACAGTTTATTTGCTGTAGTGTCATAAGAAAGGCAGTGGAATGGTATTTTATTTTGTTGCACCTATTAAGCTGAAGATTTATACCCTAAGTGGTGCAGTGTGGTTTCATCTGTAGTTCTCAATTTAGTCATTAAATATTTTATAAATCTTGGTTATTGGCTCTCTAATCACCAAGTTTGGAAAAGCAATAAGAAAAGACAGATACAAGGAGGGGTTTTAGAGTTATCCTTTAATCCTTTCAAGAGTAATTGATTAATGGTGGTGGTGTTTTAAAGTAGGTTCTATCCCTAAGATGTGTCAGACTTCTGGATTCTAGATGTATATATATATTTTTTTTTACTCTTTTCTCACATTCTGAAAGAACCAGCCCTGCTTAGATAGAAGTGACTTATTTTTAAGCAGAAAAAAGGATTCTGAAGATGGTAGAGATTCATAAAAGATAGAGCTCACTGGTGCAGTGAGACAACATGGAACTAAAATATGCTTTGGGGGGGTCACAGTCAAATGACGAGAAAGAATTATTAGAGGAAGTAATGTAACTCTCAATATTACAAGAATATGTTTACAAGGAAATGGTACAGGATGACTAAAAATACGGAGAAAGAGAAGAAAATGACACAAAGACCAGAAAGAACCAATGCAGAACCAATGCAGAAGAGACATTTCAAATGAGGTCTACTGTGAAACTACAGAAAAACAAACAACTACAGGCGCAAAGACAATTTAAATAATAGACGTTTTGCACTAAGGATGTTAAGTGTTTCCCAATGGGAAACAATGGATTATGTTTATGAATGAAACAAAAACACCACTGTATGACAACTGCTGTAAAAAACAAAAACAACATATACAACATGTAATAACCAAGGAAAAAAACAGGCTTATCTTAAGGCAACATCAGTAATGCAACAATGTGTCCCAATTGCTGTAAAAGCATAAATTACAACATACCAAAACAGTAGTTACAATAAAATAAAATAGTAAAGAGTTTAGTAAAACATAAGTGATTGTCATTAGTGTACATTCAACAGCAGTCAAGTAGAGTTTAGAAAAGAATAGAGTGTTGTCATGTAACAGGATTAAGGATGCTTTAAAATAATATTTTAAATTAATAATTATAAACACTTTAAAATACATTAAATAGCATTGTCACGAGAAAACAAATGTTATTTTAAAAACATTTCAATGCTTAGTGGCTGGTTATTGGAGGGAAGCGTGTAGTTGTCAAACAACTACATTTCCCACAATGCATCGTGAGAGAAACTCGCCGCACCTTCTCGGGGTGGAGCTTGTGGGAAGGTTTCTGCCTGTGGTGTCTGTAGCTGCTGCTGCTGGAGTGAGTGTTGTTTGACGGGGGGGCTGAGGTTGACCTGAGCGCAGCAGGGACTGGAAACAGGAGTAAGTTTCTGTCTCCTCTGGGCTTGTGTGGAGCCGCAGTTTCCGGGTCTGTGTGACAGAGGCAGCAGACCTGACAGCGACAGATGATTTGCAGGAGTCTCAGCAACAGGGCGCAGAGAGAAATGTCAGAGAATGTTCCAGCCTCGAACACAGAGAAGCGCGAATTGTCTTTGAGTGAGTGAGTCCACACCGCAACGCGGAAAAGCCGTCAGGAGGAGAGAATGCGAATGGTGCGAAGGTATCGAACTCAAGAGAAATGGAAAAGATGTAGCGTCGCAGCGGCAGAGCCAATAGCTAGAACTAACGTTAGAGTAGAGAGTAGATAGCCGAGGAGCTAACATACATGTAAAGTTATTCCCCGGAGAAGCTGAAGAGGAGCAGCAGGCGTCTTATCAATCAGAAGAGTTCACCAGTGTCGCCAAATCAAAGAAGATAACAAGGAGGAGGAGATGCTACGGAGGAGACTGAACCGTTTGGTAGGTGTTTACAGCATCATCACTACACACATTTACACAAACACATACATTCTGTTAGCTGGAGACACCGAGGTACTCCCGCTGACATATTTAACTGCTCTGCCTCTGCCCTCAAATAAAGTAGGCTGACATTTCCAGCCTTCGCCTTTAACGGCTGCCGCTTTCAAAGTCCGCGGGGGGTAAAACCAGTCTACAGTGGGCAAACAGACTGTAACTTCACATTCTCTTAGTACAGGGAATAATTATTCTTTGACATCATTTTGTCCTGTCCGTTAGCCCACGTTAGCTAACTAGGTCAATTATTACCAGTATGGAAGTCCCAGAAGATGCAAATTAAGGTTTGCTGATCCGTCAAGAAACGACACTTTCAGGGGACAGTGAACGCCTCATCATACCTGTTAAACAGGGCCGTAAGAAGTCGAAAAGCCAAAACCCCCACCGGAAAAAATGTCAACAGTCCGTCCATGCATGTCCATAGTCTTTCCTGGGATCAAATTGTGATCAGTGCACAGGATTTTTCTTGACCCCCGTTCCAAAAATGGGTATTCTTAATGGCCTGCAGGATGGTCAAATAGACGAAATTAATCATACAATGCCATTGTTTCAAACCCCACTTGACATGTCATCGTCACCGTTTTAACCATTCAGTAGTTTAACAACATTTTAGATATTTTATTATATTTTAGCATGTAAGCATCTCAGGACAGAGAGGTTAAAGTTATTACGTTGTACATTCATTTTTCTGCAGTACTACTGCTGTGTAAAACACATTTCCTCCAAGCACTTGGGATTCCCTTTTTGGCTGCAGTACTATTACAAACCAGCAGGGGTCAAGGCAAAAAACTAGGGCTAGGCATTTTAATTCAGAAATTATTAATGTCTTTCATTAAAAACTTCATTCTGAAGGACAGAGTACTAGCCTCCAACCTGCTTATTTGGGAACAAGTTGTGACTACTAAAATACACTGTGGTGACTTCTTGACCTAACCTTGAGGAATGACCCTCCAACACTTAAACAAATAAATATACCTCTGGGCTACTGGCTCTTCCAACATACTTCAGTCTGCCTTTAAGTTTGATTTAGTTCGAAAACATGAATAACAATCAATTAAGGGTAAGGGTAGGAGCAGTGGTGGCTTAGTGGTTAAGGAAGTGGACTTGGGTCTGAAGGCTTCAGTTTCAAGTCCACCAGCTGCAAGTTGCCACTGAGGTGCTCTGAGCATGGCACCGTCCCCACACACTGCTCCCCGGGTGCTTAAAGCTGCCTACTGTTCACTTTGGTCATGCGTTTCAAGCAAAGGTCACATTTCGTTGTGTGCAGTGGTGAGCTGTGTCACAATGACAAGTAGTTCACTTTCCACTGTTTCCACTTTCCTCTTAACTTTAAGAGTGTGATGAGTAAAAAAACAACTGGCTACTGCATACCTCGGGAGTCTGGATTGGTAAGGTTAAATATAATAGTTGTTGTAAGATTGACTAGCTCTACTACCAAAATGATTCAGGTGACACAGAAGAACCTATTTGTCCATGGATGGGCCCCAGGCCGGACTTTAATAGGCCTGCTGTAAAACAATTACCTGTCTTCAAAGATGACCCTTTTGCCCCTTTTCCAAAACTGCTGACAGTTGAGGCAAGTTGAGGTTTCCAGTTTCACAAATGTTTTAGCTCCTATAAATTTGGTATTTTAAAATGTTGCACTGAAGACATAGCTATGGCACTTTCATTTATCAAACTTGGCAAATAATCTATATGTGAAGAGGAAACACTCATCAATGAAGGAAACAGATGCAGCTGAGGGTAGCAGGAACTCGGGTGCAGTAAACTACTCTTTGAAGAAATTAGTTTCCCAAGGATTTGCAGTGTGAGTGGTGTGAACTCAATGTTGTTCCTATTTTTCACTCATTGTTTTTGTATTCCAATCAATGCAATCAGCATAATCATTACTAATGAGGCTTGGTTAAAACAGCTATCACATTTACGCTGCCACTGTATTGTTACTCTACGTTCCACCACTTTATTCGTTCTGTACAAATAAGTTGGTATTTTGCCAACACAAACTGCTTTGACATCATGTTTCACACACTTTGTTTAATGTATAGCAGTGCTCTTTACTGCCCTCTCTTACATTACTCAGTCATGACTGAGCGAGATCAAATTGGTGTTGCTATCTGCGAGGCCAGATTTGAATGCCAACCGTCTTTAATGCCTTTTTATCATTCTTTTATGCACGAGTAACCTGTTGGCAAACAGCAGGTTGATTTCCCCACTTACTCTCTGGGAAGTGTAGATATTGACAGTTAATAAGGGGGTGCCATATAATAATTATAGTACTTTACACCCACTCCACCCAGCGTCCCTCTCTAGTGTTGCCAGGTCAGCTCATTTTCCTATCTGTGGAGAGAATTGCTGCTGTAATTTTTCATCCATGTGAGCAGTAAATATTAGTGTTTGCAGCTATCCATTCGGCTGGCTGTTGTGGATACACGCTGTTCTGCTACTTTTTTTCTACATATCTGCCTCCTGACTCTCACTTCCCCTCTTTTTACTCACGGGAGGTTCATGTGCACGATGAGAAGGGAGGGTCACAGAAACGTGGACAGAAGTACTGCCACGTATCAAAATCAGAGGAAAACTACTTATAAAATCTTTTCAAATGACTGTGGGAACTCAGGAGGGGGGATCTCCAGAGGTTCAAGTGCTCTGACAGGAATACAGAACCGCACAGATGCCTTTGAAATTTCTTGAAGCCCTTGAAGGCAGCACTGTGATCTGTGAGAGGAGGAGCCTGGTGTAATAGTATTCACTGTAGAAGCTACGACTGAAGCTGCTACAACAGCTCTCACACATGAAAATAGCAAATGTCATACGTCCAACCAGTTAATATTTACACTGTGGTGACTTCCTTTCTCCTGGTGTTCACACAAGGTTATTATTGCATTCTTTGACTCTTGTGTACATAAAATATTCTATATAGGGAAGTGGTCCTTCACAGGTTGTCCTACTCTTTGAAAAGAGGATATTTTCAAATGTATGACAGTTGCAATTCACACCTCTGTCTGTAAGTTTATTGTCAGCGTTTTTATATTTCATAGATGTATATACAGTATATATAAATATATATTTATAATATATATAATGGAATGCAAGAATAAACCAAAGAATGGTCACAACTTGCCAGATAGCTAGTATAAGAAGTAACCCCCCCCCCACATATTACAGTATTTCATAAAAATTAAACATATAGGCCACTTCCTGCAGATTTAAAAAAAACATTCTATACAGGCTGTTATTATGATATAAAATATAGGCTACAGCATTATTTATTATGACTGTATAAAATATAGGCTACAGCATTATTTATAAGAAATATATTAGTTTTTTGGAATCTTTCTATCAAACACATGATCCGTGTGATTTATAGTTGAACGAATGGCTTCATGACTGGAGCACGGTGCAGTTTTGGATTGGTGCTGAGCATAATGGAGTTTGACTATCCCCAGCACTCATTTGTTCATATGCTTTACCAAAAGAATCCCCTAAAAGTCTTGCTCCGACATATTAGATTGCTCCACATTAACTGTTTCATGTAACGTGTAGGTCAGTTCTTAATTTTTTACTTTATATCTATGTGTCAGAAGCACCTGTAGGAAACACCACGAAACCACGAAGCACATTTTGTGCAGGCCAACTCACTGCTCTGATCAGTTCTGCAGGCAATGTTTCTCCTCCCCTTTTCCTACAGACACAGTGCTGCAGGCAGTGGTACATTTAAACAAAAGAACAACTTCCACGTGTCTTTTTAGCCTCGTCTAGTGAGTGCAGACTGGCGTGTGACAGATGCTGGTTACTTAACAGAGTAACACCGACAACTGCACTGATCAGACTTGATGACTGTGCACCCTGTCTTCCGTCTCACAGACACTGCTGCATCCAGTGGCATAGACACATTTCACATCTCAACCTAAATAATAGAAAAGTCTCCGAGGACCTGTGCTGTGTTTTTGACCTGGTTTAGTGTTTTTTTTAGGTCTGACTGCAAACAGATGCGTGACTAGCATTGGCTTAGGTACAGTTGACTGCATATTATTCAAATCTGCATTGTGCAGTGTTTATGAGGATCTAGTTATAATAAAGAAACTAATCAAAATGTTTCTTTAAATTAAGAATTCTCTGCTGTATTTAATTTTTTTGTGGCCTTGTTAAAGTTGGCCATCCTTGGGCGGAAGTTGGACTACATCACATACACGGCATACTGGGTCATTTGATTTATCTGGCCCATTTGATTAGCAGAGAAGCATATTGATTGAGGCTGTACTTCGTTTTGCCTCTATTAGTCTTGTGCCATGAACTGGCATGTGAATCAAATTGCTTATGCTGAATTCTTTTGCTTTCTTTCTCTCTGTGCCTGGTCTTCTACAATATTAGGGATCACCAACCTAAGAGAGATTGTCTGCAGAATGCTGCAAAGTAATGCATATTTTCAGTGGGGCCACAGTGGCAGTGTGAATGACTAAAACACCCACAATCTCTTTCTGTGGTATGATGTTGAAATAATGTCGGATGTCTCTATGACTCCAGTTGGGAAACTGGATTGAAACCAGTGTTGACCTGGTGCCTCTCAAGTATGATCTACTGTTGTTTCCAACTGTTTGGCAGTCTCTTTAAGAATTCTTGTGGAGTATAACTTGAGATTGGGTTCTGTGGGCAGGATAAAAAGCGTCTGCCAGGAATTTTGTGTCAGTTTCCTCATCCTTTTAAAACCTAGGTTGAATTCTCACTTTGTACTGTGTAAATAATTAATCTTGCTTCATTTATTTTAAATTCTTTCCACATTCCTCCTCCGTCTGTTGACCCATGTGTCCTTACCAGGCTAACGACATTGAAAATACATCTTTTCCTTCAATACATGAAAGACTCAGCCAGACATTTTCTCCTCCATGCACCAGTTCTAGCATTTCTCAGAGCAATTGCAGTAAGATGCGGAGAGAATGCTGAAAAGT